TAGCATATGGGCGCGCAGGCACGTAATGGCCTTTCGGGGCACGTGCTTTTCCCTTATGTTACTTATGGGATGTATGAATGTGGGTGTAAATTCTCAATTTCGGGCTGATTCAAAGCACGCAAGTAAATTAAAGCGAAATTAAAACAGGCGATGTCGTTGTACGCCGTGTATGAAATTTCGGTCGCATGCAGCGTACTACCATGGGTTTTTGGAGAACATTTTTAGTTCCCCGCCCCCTCCCACTACCATTACGGATTCCTTCGTACGTCCCGGTATAGATTTCATGCATTCTACCAGCCTTAAATAAACGTCAATTTTTATACAACTCTTGAGTTTCTGGGTGTTAGGCGTTAGCTTTTGTTGATGCGTTTGTGGCTATGGGTCTTAGAAGTGTTTTAATTGCTGATGCGTTTTAAACACATTCAAGACGTAAAGGCATCATAACGACACCGTTGCTTTCCTCTGTCCTGTAGGGTTATCTGCCTTCAACGCACTTAACGATGCGATAGGTACAGTTTCGCACGTTTGGCAACTTACCTGCTGAGAAAAAAATCGAAACTTATCTCAATTTTCCCAACGATGTCATGTGATGATATATATATATATATATATATATATATATATATATATATATAATATACGTGTATGCATACCTATTATCAATTCTTGTATCCAATGCACCGTTTCAAGATATTCAAAAGGATCACTTCTTTGAAAAGATGCTTAGCTGTATTCCGAGCATCTTTAGCTGTACATCATCTAGCTATATCTCGAGCATATATATATATAGCTTTTGTTGATTGGATTTTAGTAGTGTTTTAATTGCTGATGCGTTTTAAACACCTTCAAGCCGTAAAGGCATCATAACGATACCATTGCTTGCTTCTGTTCTATAGACTTATTTGCCTTCAACGCACTTAACGATGCGATAGATACAGTTTCGCACGTTTGGCAACTTACCTCCTTGGAAAAAAATCGAAACTTATCCAAATTTTCCCAAAGATGTTATGTGATGATAATATATATACATATACATATATATATATATATATATATATATATATATATATATATATCATACACATGTGTACATACCTATTATCAAATTCTGTACCTAATGCACCGTTTCAAGCCATTCAAAAGCATCACTTCTTTGAAAAGATGCTTACCTGTATTCCGAACATCTGTGCGGGTGTCATGAAGCTGCTGACCTCCCAGCACACACAAACCCCTTTTCGTGTAATGAGGAGGCTCTGAGCAGAGTACAGACACTTCCAACTTTATTGCTCTTCTCAACATACGATTCCTGTCAGTTTCGTGGACCAATTTTCCAATTCGCACCTATAGGATAGCGCTGCCGCTAGTAGCGTCTCCCCCCATCCGGCCTGCCACTGCATGGCTCCATCTCCATCCCTCTGGCTGGTCATTACGGCTGCGCTGGGCCCCATTACCATAACGCCATTACGGGGCGGACGCGGCCGCGACGGCGTACACGGCGCGATGAGATTGTCAATGACTAGCGGCTGGTCCGGCGGAACACGCGCCCAGCAGCGGCCGGGCCCACGCCGCCATCCTCGCGCGCCTGCTGCAACGGAACAGCAGCCATGGGCCCGAGCAGAGGGAACGGCGAAGACGTTGGTGGATGAACGGGTTCAGTAACGGGCGGTGTAAATCGATAGGCGCCTCCAATGATTTTCCAGAAAGTCGTGATATCGTTAGCTGGGGCTATTTGACATGCCGAAATCGTTTCATGGGATCAAACCATGCATTGGATTCCTGGCGTCAGTAAAAGTAAGCTGCGCTTTTCGCTGGTATTTCACCACTGCGATCGTCAAGGGTCTCTTCTAGGGTGTGATCGTCCTCTTGCGAAATTGTAGCAGTTTGACGGACGTACCGAGCTTTTTAGTGAAAGTGCAAGTTTTGAACATTGCTTGGAAAGCCGTCTACGTGGTGAAAGCCCTACGAACCTTCAGGAAACACAGTTGAGTGCTATGTATATTTAGTGAAACATACGTTATGATTGCATGTTGCTATTTTTAAGGCACTGTGTAGCTCTTGTCTTAATTGTTATTTATGCGGACGAAAACCAGCGACGACAAAAATCTCTTGACAACCCCGAAAGTAGGATTCAAAATGAGTCACGTCATGTAATCTTATGTTTTTTTTTTAAATGGTTGGTTGCTGTTTTTCGGCCAACAAAGCTTCCATATTCGTGAATAGCACTGTGATCGGCTCACCGAAAACTTATAAATGCAAATGTAATGTTATGGTTGGATTTATCAACAGTTGATTTTTCCTTACATGCAAATTGACGGGTAAATATGTGCAAGATTTGGTCGTGCCATTTCATGACGCTTCATTTATTTATGTCAAGCATTTTTCGGTTCTGAGAAATCGAGGCACCCCAGTATGCTAACGCGGAGCCTCGTCATTGGGAGGGTCAATAATCTGGTAATCCTTTATCACCCGGGGACCCTTCGACTCCTCCTGATTCTTGATTGTCCTGGAGGCCGAACACTGTAGGACTTGTTCTGACTGATTCGGGACCTCCAGTGTCTTGATTGTCCTGGAGGCCCAACACTGTAGGGCTTGTGACTAATTCGGGACCGCCAATGTCGTGCGGCTGCCGTCTCTCGGCGTCCGTTATTGTAACAAGGCCAAAGATGCGAAACGGGCAGGACGGAAAACGTGCATGGCAAATCTCTGAAACGTTTAGGGGATGAATTCTCCAACAGATTTGACCTTCGTGAGACATAGAGACGAGATCCTTCGTGAGAACATCGGTATCATGTCAAATTATCGCGGTCCCTGAACTAATCTGGTATGACGACCCCCAAGTGCTTGCAAAACGAAAGTACCATAGCATATACCAAGGCATGCTTAACCAATCATAAAATATTATTGCAGCGGGTACCTTAATTTGATCACATTATCACATGATCATTCTGGCATGAAAATTAATACATTTTTGTAATCTTGAAATCAGATGTTACAAGATCGTGTCAAATGAACCATTCGGCGGCATTTGAAACGACACACAGCTAATAAAATATGTGATGCGCAAACTACCACGTCATTTTTAACGCAGGAGCGTGGAGTGGAACATATGTGTATATCGAACTACGGGTTATACATGCGATGCGTGATGTAACTTTGACACGGAAGACTCGCTGTCCGCAGTCACCACGTCATCAGCGAGCATCCACACGTCAGCCTATCGTCCATGTCCATGGAGATCACCCTGTCCCATTCCCCGGGCATTTGCCTGCAAGCGCTCTTATTTGTTCTCATAATCTTGAGACAAGCCAGTACACAGCAGCGCAAGCCCCTCGTGATGGCTGACTGCCCGTCGCGCCGGTGACCGCAGCTGCCCGGACACAGCCGCGGGGTGGGGCCCAGCCGGCCGGCCGGACACAGCCGGGGCCCGCCGTGACCCGCCTGACCTCCAAGCGTTCCCGAAACGGACGCCTTATTGATGCCGACACATGACGCTGGAGTGACCTGAATTAATAAGCCGATCGTCCGGTGCGGAAAGCATACAGCCGAGCCCGAGCGGCCTCAATGATTCATTCGAGAGGTGCGCGGAAACGAGCTAATTGACTGGGGGGAATACACAACTAGACCTGTTGGCTTAATTGTATGTCAGCACACATCAACGGTAGTTCTTGGATGTTGATTCGTGCTGGATATTTTATGAGTCACCGAAACTGCTTGCCCCAAAAGACATGCCATTTTCAGCAGACTCGTGATAATTCATCCTACACTGTATGATGCAGTCGATAACGAAAGCGTTGCATGTAAAAGTACTTTAGTATTCGTGTACGCATGCTTCTTTACCAGTCCGAAAATTGCTAACATTCTGAGAAGCAGTGTTGTTGTGCATGTTTTTATCGCAATAAGTAGTCGCGTACGGATGTCTTGCTATCTGCCAGAAGCAATCAAGATTCTGAGGAGCAGCGTGCCAATCAGATAGCTCTTACGTTCTATGAGCCACAAAGAGAACGAAATCTTACGCTGGATCAATCAAACGTTGGCTGCGCTACTCCGGCATCTGCAGCATTAACTCCTGCACGTGGCCAGCCCGATGTTGGGTCCGCTGGTGGTTTTCAGAGTGACTGTGCATCCCGCTTGGCTGCCAGGTCTCGTCCTCAGCGACCCTGAGAAACCGCACAGCACTTCAGGTCAAAGGACGCCACCCTGGCGTCGTGCTTTCATCTCTCTCTTGTTCAGTGGCAGCCGTTTCGCGCGGCACCCCGCTGCATGAAAACGTCTCCCAAGTTACTTCTTATTTCCCAGCGCGCTGGTCGCGAAACGCAACGGATTCTTCGGAGCGTTCGGCATCATTTGCGTGAGAACCGAAGACGCAAATTGGGCCAATTGGAGGTGCCCGCAGGAATCTGGCGAGCGAAATGCGAGCGGGCCAGCTCGCTGTGATTGGCCGCCGGCGGTGCGCCGTGCTCGCCGCCGCCCGCCACGCGCCGCCGTCTTACGCGCAGCTGCTCGGAACGGAACGCGTCAGAAATAAACGCACGCCTGATGGATCACCTCCGAAACATGCGCGGTTCTGTGTCGGGCCGTCTGCGCTGTTCGCATCCGTCAATTTCTGGGTAGACGATTGGCGCGGCTCGTGTCTACATCCGACAAGGCCCAGCTGCGCACAATGCATTGGTGTCCTGTGCTTGAATAGCGTCAGCGGATGCTACCGTTGTAAAATGATTCACTCAATACACACTGCTGCCCGGTTTGAAGATGTCGCGGAAAGGGCTGCCAAGACTTCCACTGTCATGCCATGACAGCGATCCGCCGTTGTTTAGAGTGTTTTAAGGATGGCCATCACATAATAGTTATGTCATCGTGTGGATTGTCAAGTTATGTTGTCAGTCGCATTAACAGTCGCTGACAGGCGCACAGAAGCAGCCTCACACGCGATCCGTGTCCGACTGGTGACCCGCGCCTGACCGGTGACCCGTGCTTGACCGGTGACCTCTGCTGCTTCGCAGACGCCCGGCAGCGCCGAGGACCTCGCGGCCGTGATGGAGGCAGCCGGCGTGACGCCGCCCGGCCGCGGCCACCAGCGCAACCACAGCGCCACCAGCCTCGGCATCAGCAGCAACCACAGGTGGGGGCACGCCGCCGCCGCCGCTGGCTCGAACCGGCGCGACGTGAGCGGGAGAGAGCGGCGCAAACGGTGGACGCGTGGACGGATTGGGAGCAGCGGATGCTGGGCTGACGTTTGCTGTGGAGATCCTACACTAATGACCTGGTTCGTGTTGGAGCCCTCCCAGTCATGCATCTTTAGCGTAGGTACATGGTAAAGTGAGTGGATACACTTTAAGCATTGACGTGAATGATGGAAACTTCGCTGCGAATGCGCACGTCTTCACCACTGGTCTATAGTGAATCGCCTTTGCCAACTGTTGGAGACAGCAGCAGGGGCGCGGCAGCAGCCGAAGGGGGGGGGGGACAGAGGGGGCAGTTGCCCCCCCCCCCTGCCTGCCGGCTGGGGGCAAGAGTATTTTTTGCCCCCTAAAATTTTCGGGTGGACCGTTTTCAAAATTAATGGCATTGCAGCTATCCATAGATTACCAAAAGTCAGGTCATCAGATAAATGAGGCCCATAACTGTGCTAGAGAAAAACAAATCGGGATCAGGAGACCCTCTTCTACATCAAGAGCCCCATTTCTGGAGTAGGGGGGGGGGGGCGCTTTTCATGCATCATATGACCGCGGTTCCGGCCCAGGATGTCCTGTTTTGGGGTAACGAGGCCCCACGACTAAATTTGGAGGCCATTTCGCGGATCGGAAGCATCCTGTTCTGGATTAAGAGGTTCGTCCACGGATCAGGAGGCCCTTTTTAGGAACAGAGGATCCTCAGAGAGGCAAGTGAGACTGCGGAATAATCAGAGGGCTCCAGTCAGGGCACTTGTTTTGATTTATAAGGAGGCACACGCCTTCGATGCCCCCCCCCCCCCTACATACGACACGACCTGGGAGGCCCTCCTGCGAGGAAGCCCCAATTTGTACAGGGGTCCTCCTGGAAAATCCAGCGCCCCCCCCCCCACGCACTCAAAATTCGTGGCGTCACCCCTGGATATCAGTACGCGCGGAAATTAACTCCAGAAATTAAGTATAGGTTCTTATTTCGCGAACCCACCCTCACCCCGCAGATTTCCACCGACATGACACGGACTTCTGGCAATACGGCATGCCTGCCGCCATCACCCACATCACCCGACATTACTGTCTTGGCAACCGGCTGTCGCATGTTTTATACGCGCTTGCGGGACACCAGCCCTCGCCGCCAGCCGTCGGCCTTGACATGCCGCCACTGATTGGTGCCGGCGGCGCGTGCACAGCCCACTGTTCTGCTTCCGGGCGCCTCCGCTTCCGGAGAGCCCGCGCTTCCGATGTGCCGGTGCGATGATAATGGTTGGCCAGGACTTCCCGTTCACGCCGCGCGCGTCGTTCCGGCGCACCGCCCCAGCTCTGTGCCAAGCTTCCGGCGCGCGCGTGCGCTGCTGCCAGCGGTGCCTCGTCGGCGCCTTTCTTTCAGCCGGCTCTGGCTCGGTCTTGAGGTGGTCAATCACCGAGTCTGCCGAACTGAAAGCCGGTTTGATAAGTCTGCGCCGCTCTATTCGCTGGGCTGGAGAGAAGAACAGAAGGATCTCTACGGGGGCTGTTTCTGGGCAGTTTCTGGCATTATGGTTGCGATGGGATTGGATGGCGGCATGATATTGCACACGAACCACACTGGTGATTGCTTCACGGGCCACGTGGCGCCTGCCGACCCGGCGACTTCCCTTGTCGTGGCACGGCGATAATTTCCTTTACGTGTTAGTGGTAACAAATTCCTCGCGTAACAAGTATTCGCTGCGCGATAGCCAGCAGCTGGAGGGAAACAAAATGAATTAACGAAAGGGCAGCCTAATTTGTGTTAGTATGTTACGTGATGTACTGCAATTTGATCCGACGACCGCGGAAGGCACGTTGTTGACTGGTTGCCGTATAAACGTTAACGTGCGCTCGGGTGGGAGTCAGTTTGCTTCCTTCCCAAAGTTTTTTTCAGGCTAATTTCCGAACAAGGCGGCGTAGCAGCGCTAAACTTTACATAGTATGAGTAGCAGTTGAATAACGGATCCTTTGGTTTAAAAATTGATGTACCTTGAAAGGTCGTTTACCTATGGCGGGTCAAAATGTGGACGCGGCTGTTCGCAAAGGTCATTTTTAGGGAATCGTTCAAGGTGATGCGACAACGAAGTATTAGACGAAACCACGCATGACTGAGAGGGTTTTGAGGCAATAAACCACTTAAAACAAGAATTACAACAAATTCCAGTGATCTGGGCTCAGGTATGAAGGTCAGACCTAGGTCGAAGCCAATTTCCTTTTTCACTCGGTAGCTTGCTGCATGGGTGGTTTCTGGTCCACATTTAGAATTCGTTAATGACAGTGGCCGCAACAGACATGCCCCATGGGTTTTTTAAAGGTCAGAGTAGGTAACTGACGTAAACTGAGCCAGATTAACATTTTCTTTTAGGAGCATACCGCCTAGTGCAATCCCTGACGCTTATTTGGATGACAAAAATAGGAGGAATCTGATAGGTTGTGGGCACATTGACCTTTAGGTAAAAAAATGTCACTGGTCTTACATGGGCATCGTTGACCTTTTACCTGTAACAGGTGTCTAGACTCACGACGGTTGCGTGAGGGGTAGGGGGCACTTTGGATACCAATCTGGAATTCTTACCAACCCAATCTGGACAGAGGCACAATTGGGGTAAGGAGCATGTATTAGCAAGAGACAGAGGCACAGTTACGGTTAGGAATGACGAGCGAGGCGAGTTAGGGTTAGGAACATGTATTGGCAACTGTATTGGCAACAGACAGAGGCACGGTTAGGGTTAGGAACATGTATTGGCAACAGACCGAGGCGCACGGTTATGGTTAGGGATGATAAGCGAGGCGAGCGCCTACATCAACGTACATTACACTTGGTGGAAACCCAAAGGCATCGCGTGCAAATCGCATCAAGGATACTTTCTCCTCTCCAGAAAGTGCAGCATGCGATCTTTTCCTTTGCACTTCTAAGCTTTTTTTCTTACGTAACCAGTGTAGTGTTTCCTCAAGGATCTGGCCCTCTGCTTCTTCCCTCTCCCCCCTCCGCTAGCTGCCGTAGACAACAGGGCGTGCGTAGTAAACCACGTGCACTGGTGAAAAAGCTTACTTTGACCATATGGCTGCGCATCGGCAATAATTTCCTTGAAAACAGAGTTTGCTCCACCCATTATTTGGCAATGTTAAACCCTGGGCCTGTTGCGCTTGTCAGCTGCTGACTGACTCCCACACCCCCGTCGGCTCCTGAAACTGGTCTTTTCGGTGTGCAACTGAAATAAATTGATGTAATTTTTTAGAATCAGAGGAATATTAAATTTGAGGTTTGTGTTTTGCAAGTCCGCAGAAACTCGCCACCCTGCCATTGCTGGCCATTAAAAGACCGCCGAGATTTTTGCACCCGCACTCTGCGGGCCTGCTGGTTCAAAATTGGCAGCTCTACCGTCTTTTTCCACGAAAAGTAGGGCATGTGAAACATTTAATTGGTCGAGTCTAACCACTCGTGCTATGCAAGCTAGAAATCCCAGACAATGAAGGAAAATGCGCGATGCGGTGTCTCAAATGTCTAGAAAGTCTTACCCTGAACGAGAACTGTTAAGTCTTCTGATGGGGAAGTTCTCACAGTTCCGGCCGAACATCAACGTCAAATTTGGCGCTAAATTCAGCGTTTTGGGTATACTTCAGGCTTTTCGGGGAGGAGGAAACACCCGGTGCTGTAAACGTGTTACTGAAACAATCCTCGTACACGATCCGGTCATGGCATGGCATCATGTCAAAGTTCAGGAATAAAGGTCACTCGGCACAATGAAATTAACAATTACTTAAAATTAGGACAGATTCAACAGGGTTCCCCGGCTATTTAAACGATGACAAGACGGGCTCGGTCACGACCCCTCAGTCTGACAGCGACCCTTATCACGAGTTTGTTTTCCAACAAAGCTCCACCACTCCTGAAGCCATGGGGCGGCAAATCAGTCCGTCGGCCCGCAGTCGTGACTGCCCGCATCAGTGACCCAGGTCAGTTTCTGAACGAGCCCGCGGCCGTGCCGGCGGCCGCGGGCGGCGGATCGGGTCAGTGCTCTGGCGACCGCGGCGGAGCCATGTCGTGTGACGGAGGGCTCCGGAGGCGAGGCCGCGACGCCGCCTCGCTGGAGCGCAGCTGGTCGGTCGCTCCCTGGTCCGGCGACTGGTGGGCCCCGGGCAGCGGGCCGGGCGTGCCGCGACAGCGCGGCTGGCTCGAGGGCTGGTGCCGCGGACTTTCCAGGGGACTCGACCGCTACCGGCGGTACATGCTGCTGAGGCGCAGGCAAGTGGCGAGCCACCCATGCGCCCAAAATAGCGCCAAGCCAGGTTGCGTTCCTCCAGGTTAGATTTCGAAACCGGATATCAAAGTAAGCGCGGAGTTGCCAAGGACCTGCGAGACCCTGTAGGTATTCTCGATATGTCGCGACGAGTCTGGCGTCACGATGCCTTGGACGCGCCAGGGCTTACCCGATCCCGTATGGTCGTGTTCGTTCCGTTACTGATTCATTTTGCCTCAGCTCTTTCGTCCCGCGCACGGACTGGGCCAGCTAACGGCCGAAACAATGGACAGGCCCATTCGCCAATAATTGGCAAGGCGCCTCACCGGAGCACAGCGCGGCGCGCCGCGGTATGATGGAGCCAAGTGGAGCAGCCGGCCGGCGACCCCGCCCTCCCGCCGTCAGCTGATCTGCGACGGGGTCCGGCCGCGGATGGGTTCGGGCGCGGCGGGGTCCGGCCGCGGACGGGTTCGGGCGCGGCGATGTCCGGCCCGCGGACGGGTTCGGGCGCGGCGGGGTCCGGCCCACGGACGGGTTCGGTCCGGCCCGCGGACGGGTTCGGGCGTGGCGGGGTCCGGCCGCGGACGGGTTCGGGCGCGGCGGGGTCCGGCCTACGGACGGGTTCGGGCGCGGCGGGGTCCGGCCGCGGACGGGTTCGGCCGGGACGACCACATGTCGCGCGCGCGGCGCGTCCGTGTGGGCCGGTT